ATAGATATTGTAATAATAACCTTTTGATTCTTTTTTATTGTTCTTTAACATTCTTTTGTTAATGGATGTCAGGAATTTACACAATACCAGAAGTTGGACGAGTGTCTTGCATACATAGAAGATTACATGGCAAAGAATGGACCTTTTGATGGTCTTCTTGGTTTCTCCCAGGTTTGCTCCTCATTTCTGTCTCGTCTAGCTATTTTCATTGTTGGGTTTATCTGGAATTTTAAAAATTAAATTATTTGAGTTTACAAAGAAATTAATCCCTCCGAATCTCCAATATCTGATTTGGGTTTTTGTTGTTGGTCTGATTGAAAACCAGGGCGCCATTTTGTCAGCAGCCTTGCCTGGCTTACAAGAGAAGATAGATGTGGTTTGGGGTAATTTGAGTTCGCACCCTATATTATTGTCTAAATTGGACTTTGCACCTTAAAAAATCTTTGTTTTTGCACCCTAACTCCATATGAAAAGACAAAAATGCCCTCAATCAGGTATATGTTGAACTGTTGAAGGTCAACACAATTGTTAATGGAGGAGCATTTTTGTCTTTTTCATATAAGGTTGGGGTGCAAAAATAAAGATTTTTAAAAACGGGGTGCAAAGTTCAATTTAGACAATAATATGGGGTGCAAACTCAAATTACCCCATGTGGTTTCATTCACTTTTGCCTGATTTTATCTTCAAATGATACAATTCAAAATTAATAAATGGCCTAGTAAAACACGGGTTATATGCACACATAGGGGTATCGTCCTTTTATTCCATAAAGGATTCATTCAGTCCTAAAAAGATACATAATGTTTATAGTTATTCTTTGAAGAGTTTTAAGAGAGGCAGTCAGATCAAATGCATAAATAGTACCTTAACTATTGGTAATGTTGCATTTTGGTATTTTAACTCCTAAATGAATCAAAACGGTATCTTAATTATACACAAATGTTTCGAATTGAGATTTTATTCAAATTTCCAACCAAAAAATTATGCGTGGCGGCCAAAATTCTATGTGTAAAGTTTTCTTCACTTTAGTTTTGTCCATGTGATCACTATAGGGTGACTCTACACATGGAACTTGGATCGTCATGAAAGATTTTTTGGTTGGAAATTTGAATAGAATCTCAAATAGAAACATTTATGTAAAGTTAAGATACCGTTTTGATTCATTTATTAAGAGTTAAGGTACCAAAATGCAACATTATCAATAGTTGAGGTATCATTTATGCATTTGACTAGATGCAATCAAGAAAACAAAAATAGTGGTCTGTTAGAAGCAGATGAGGAGCTAGGGAGGGGCATGAGGGGGCAAGCGCCCCCGCTTCGGGCAATTTTTTTTAGTACTATTACGTATAATATATTTAATGCCCCCCCTTTTTTCAAAAAAAAAAAAAACAATTAAGGTTAATTTTAGATTAAGTGTTACAATAAAAGACAATGTCTTTGAGGAAATGTACGTGTTTCTAGGAATACAAGTATTGGTTGGAACATACCACATTAATTTAAATGCAAGTGTGGATTGTTTTAGACATTTAATGATAAATGGGTTGGCTTTTCATTGTTATTATGAGCAAGAAAGTGTTGAGTTTGATGGATATGTTATCATATTTCATGTAACAAAGAGATCAAAACATTCTTGAGACTATATTAGATTCCCTCCTTAGTAGAGAAATTCATGAGAATTTTAGAATTTCTAGAGGTGTCCAAGTTTCTATATACGTGTGTAGAGAAGTATTGAATATTCTAGAATAATAATGTGGAGTTTTCTAGAGAAATGTGGAACTTACTAAATTAGTGTGGAAGTGTGTGGAAGCCTTTAGAACATTTTAAAGAATTGTGTGGTTTTCTAAATCCTTCTAGAAGATAAGAGAAGCTTATGGATACTTTTTGGAAGAATCTAGATGTGTAGTGGTGTATAAAAAAATCTAGAGAAACTTTATGAAATCAGTATAGAGAAGCTTCTCAATTATATGAGAACTTTGAGGGGAGCTCTTGAGTGAGTAAAAATGAGAGTCTTCTTAAAAGAGGAGAGTGAGGGTCTTCTTGTGAGAGAAGAAGGCTCAAAGCTATCGTTTGATGAAGTGAATCTGATCAAATTAGGTAGAGTGAAGTAGTCTCATATACAAAAAGTCAGTGAGGGTAATACAGAGTAATATTGTTAGATTGAGTCTTTGTATTATGAGTGTGTGGACATATAAGTGTACAAGAGTCTATGAGCTCGTGATCCTTGAAAAGGTAAGGGGTCGTGTTTTCCAACATAAAGTTATTATACAACATTTTGAACAAAGTAAAACTCGTATGATTGATCCATCAAGATTAAGATGTGCGACAAACACTATGTAATGAACTAATTTGTGCTAATGTATTACGCTTTTATTGTTTTATTATATTTTGAGCAAATACACAAAATTCTTAGTCTTCGGTATGCCCCCTTCAAAAAATCTCTGACTCCGCCACCTGTTAGAAGAAGTTTGTATGCTTGAGTCTTTTTGAGAGAATTTTTTCAAGTTAATTTGGCTCGGTTATTCAGTCAATTGTATATGAATTCAATGGATTGGTTAATCTGACCCAAGATCTATCTCTTTAATATTTTCTTTTTGGAACAACAAAAATGGTTGTGATTGGGCAGGGTGTGGCTCTGACCAAGGTTCCAAAGATTAAATATCTGATCATTATTGGAGGTGCAATGTGTAGGGAGAAATCAGTAGCTGAAAAGGCATTTGGTTCGCCTGTCACATGCCCCTCTGTCCATTTCATAGGGAAGGAAGACTTCTTGAGGGAACCTGGGATTCAACTCCTTGAATCTTTCATTGATCCTTTGGTTATTCATCATCCGAAAGGCCACACCATTCCACGATTTGGTAAATGTGCTACTCATCTTCTCCATTTCGTCATGCATCTCTATATTTAAACCACTACGTTATAGTATACATTGTTCAATCATTAGACATCCCGAACACCCAAACCATGTTATATGACTTGAGGATCCATCTTTAAATGCCAATCAAATAAGAGTAGTCAACATTTTCATACGAAGGGTATGCCCGCTTAACATATTCCGCGTCATAGTAGTCATTGGAGTCGACCAATCTTGAATCGTGTGATTGTTAATGATGCTCGCGTGCGGTGAATTGCTCATTCAAACTTAAATGACTCTGTTTCATATCAAAATTTCATCCTAAAAAGTCAACTTCGATAAGTTGAGTAGTTTAAGACATTATTAATAATGTATTTGTTAATATTAATTAGGTTGTCTAATTATAGTAGGAATCTCAATGTATCTTTGATTCTCTTATTATAAATAATACTTTCAGGGCTACCATTATGGTACGCTTCCTCATAATTCTCACATGGTATCAAGAGCCCTAGGCTTTTAATTTTTTTTCGATATTCATGTCGACCGAGGCTTCTTCATCGGCTACAATGGCTGCGCCAACCATGGCAGCTCCGCCGCCAGCAATTTCAGTGTCCGCCGAAACCAGCCAGACGCAGAGCGAGATGGATACTGCCTTCTCTTCCGTCCAATCTGTCTTCAGCACGCCGGCCTCGTCCTTGCCTACGCCATTGACGTTCGAAAATTGGGTTCCACCAATTTTTACATGGACTCCAACGACGCCTGCGATTCGAGTATGCATTTTTATATTTAGTCGATTTGAGATGACATAACTAGACCATGATCGTTGTTTAATGATTTCCTATTTAGTCGATATGGGACTGTGAAACAAATTTTAAGTATTTAATTAAAATTGATCGCAAATAATAATATGTGGGAATATCGGGTACAATCTCTAAATATGAATCCTCTGATTCTTCACTTGCAATTTGATATGAATATAATTAAAGAATTCAATTTACAATTCAATCTTTAATCCTTCAAAAATTCGAACATTTTTCGATTCTTCGAATCTTCGAATCTTCGAATCTTCGAATCTTCAAATCTTCTTGAATAAAGAATTCAGCTTGAAGGGCCACCGGTTTTTAAGTGGCATGATCTTCAACAAAAGAGCCGTTTTATGGCTTGATCTTCTGTTTAAGGGCCTCCTGGGATATGTGGCTTGATCTTCAGTTGAATCTTGATTCAAACTTCATATGAATATCTTCAAATCTTCAAAGATTCATTCTTTAGGTCTTCGAATCTTCAAAGCATTGTTCTTCAGATCTTTGAATCTTCGAGCTTCGTTCTTCAGATCTTCAAACGTTCTTCAACTTTTGGGTATATTTTATCAAGAATCGATGAAATCACGAACGATTATTCATATATTCTTGATAAAATTCGTGGCTTGATCTCTTCTTTGGAATCATTTAGAGCCTTTCGGGAGTTCTTCAGAGCTTTTATGCAACGTTTCTTTGTCTGAAAATTCTCTTTCTCTTTCTCTCAACTGAGGCCCCTATTTATAGGCGTGCAGGGGTGAAAATTTGTTTTAGGGTTTAGCAAATTCGTCCATATCCTTTGGGCTTCAATTAAAATGGGCTCTGTTGCTTGCATATTAACAACTAGAAAAACCAGCATTTGTGCAATGTATCTGGACAGCCTTTTTAATAAGGTTGGTAGCTATTTTCCATGCATATAGAAGGATTTCTTAGCCAGGTTCGTTGCTCACTTTATCAATTGGATCATGTCTCTTATATATTGAGCCGCTTAATTTATAATGGGTTCAAAATAATGAAATTAATAGGATCGGTCCATTCTTTCAAAGACTTAATTTATAATTAAATTAATTGGATATTTAAATGATCCGAATTAATTAAATTATATCTGAATGGATTCATATTAATTTTCTTTTTTCTTTTGATAAGGCCCAACAACCATTATGAGCAACCCAATAGAATCCGACGGTGGCCCACTAGCATTCCAATATCGTCAAGAATAACTCAGTATCATTTAAAATGAGCTCAAAAATGGGAAATTCTATTTACACTCCACTATTTACTAAGTACAGCCATATAATTATATAATTCCTATTATACCCTTCTTAAGCAATTCCAATCTTCATGCTCCATAGTCTGTAGGCACAGCCCTTAATAGAAATTGTAAATCTTCAATCCTGAAATTGGAAGGCAATAGTAACTCTCGAGCTCTTGGCTTTGAGTTCTTGGGGAAGCCATAGACAAAACTAAATAGAAGTAATTAAATCTTAATGAATTCGTAGAATTCATGGATGGTCTCATTGTAGTGGCGGATCGAGTTAGAGCGAAGTCTTCAAGTTGGTAGAGATGACAACTATTACCATGGGGTTCTGCAAAATTTCTCCCGGAAAGTTTTATGAAACTGGCGGGCTGGAAGGTGTAGAGGCTTGCAGGAGCTTCTTTCCACCATAAGAGGTGCATGAGACCAAATGCTAAGAATCACAGATGCACAACACAGGTGAAGAAGTGGGGTTACTTCAACGATTTTTTGGATTGTTTGAAAAAGATGATTAATCCAAATTGTTTATTCAAGAGTATTGGTGCAGGTTATAATACGGTGATGTGTTTATGGCTTAATTCAATGACGGTTTTGCGGTTGTAAGGATATTTTAGATATTTAATTATTTTTGTGACTCTGAATAGCAATTTGAGGATTGTAAATAGAATCACCCCTCAAAAATAAGTATAATTGGCCCAACAATTTTTAATGTCCACAGGGACAAATACTTAAACACCCTGTAAAGTGTTAAGCCCATCATCATTTTTGCTCGTGTGCCAAAAATGACAAACCACATTTTTTCTCTCCCTGTTTTCAGACGAGAAAGGTCTGGGAGATATGCTTTCCTTCATTAATAGGATGAAGAAGGATATGATCACTGGGGAAGAAGAACATGAAATTGTTCTTAGTGGTTGATTCCGTATAACTATAAGAAAAACTATTAAGATTATTAACGATGGAGTATATTGCCATTGCTTTCAAGCCATTGATGGTTTAGTTATGGTTGTTGATGTATTTTTGCAATTGCTTTCATGCCATTGTGTAGGTCAAGTATTCAACAACTTTACCCGTAGATGGCATAGCTTAATTGTGTTGGCTTGTCCAGCAACCTGATGGTACTTTAAATAAGAAATAATTGAATTTGTTGCAGTAACAATGGTATAGCCACAAGTATAAATTAGATCGAATCAGTACAAAAACAAATTCAAATAGATTATTACACAAATTTCTACACAAACATTTCATTCGTTTTTTAAACTTGATATGGGTCGGGGGCCGGGGCGCGTATCATGACCCCTCGTCCCCTCTATATATGTTATTGATGTGCAAGTGTGCAACATTATTCATTGGCGAGGTGCCTACAGGATTTCAAGTATTTATTAAAAAAATTATTTTGGGTACCTCTCCAAGTATATACTACGTAGTAAATATAAGCTCATAACAAGAAGGTTTGGAAGTCGTAGATTCAAGGTAGGATTTGTGCTCTATTTTTATTCAAGTTTTATTTTTTACTATATCATACATTTTCATTTGAATAATACTTGTGTGTGGGTTTTGAGAATGTGATTGTTTTGTCGTTGTGGGTAGAAGTATTTTGGCTTCTAAGATTGACTTAGGGATGAACTGAAATGGGTTGGCCCGACCTGGGCCTGACTCGGGCCCAGTACTGTTCAGGCCCGGTTCTATATAGGCCCGGTCCCGGCCCCGATCTGGTGGCTATAAGGGCGGGCTTCGGGCTCGTGTTTTGGGTGGGGCTCGGGCCCGACCGCACTATTTCTGTAAATGAATGCCCAGTCCCGTCCCGAAGTCCGGCCCGACCCGGTACTGTTTGGGCCCGACTCTACCCGGTATAAACTCGGGCTAGTAGCCTTGAACTCCTTAAGCCCGGAGCCCGCCAAGTCCCGACCCAGTCCATTCCTAGATCGACTGTTATTTCGAATCTCTCGCAAGTTCAAAAGAGTATTGTTCCCTTTAGGATGGATTCTTTTACGTCTCTTCACAGGGTGAGATACCATTTGATTAAACGAGAGCTAGGAGCATGGGCGGTCCTAGCCTCCTAGGAGTGCGGGGGCCTAGGCCCTAAAAAATGAAAACAAATTAGACCCATGTTAAGTTCTTTATAATTGACGTGAATAGGCTTATTTTTCAGCCTTAAATTAATAATTTTTTGGGTGGAATGTTTTGAGATGCTTCTAGGTGGATTTTGGTTACAAAAATTTATGAGCATGTCCACAAAATTTAGGTTATGTCCACAAAATTTCAGTTTAAATTTAATATAGAAGTTTTTTTTGGCAGAATCTAATATAGAAGTTGGTCAAATAAATTATTGAAAAACATTCTGTTGTTTATTCATATTTCAGCACAATGGTTTTCGTTAATTTATTTAACAGACTCCCTGATTAAATTTAAATTTCATTTTTTGTGGACATAATTAACAATTGATGAATAACATATTCACAAAATTTTATTAAAAAAATCACTTAGAAACAGATTAGTCTGATATGAATATTTGATTAGTTTATTAATTGGTTTCATTCATAGTTGATTGTTTGATTTCATAATTGTTTGTTATCTATTAAGTGTTGGTGTTATAATTTGTTAATTTCGTTAAACCAAAATTTTCAAATATAATTAAATTTATAAATTTAATAAATTATTTGAAGGTGTGGTAAAAATGATTGAATTTAGATATGATAAAGGAAACAGGGGAGGACAATAGAGAAAGCCACACAAAGTAAAAAAAAAATATCAGTCGGAAAGTTTATTTGTATTAAGAAGTAAAATTTTTAATGTCTCCCTCAAGATGAGAACTCAGAGAAGAATGATTTTTTGAATAAAAAATAACTAATGTATTCATATCAAATAATAGCAAAAGAACAAGTAAATGAATAGCCTAAGACTACAATGAGATGAATCTTTCAATGTAAAAGAATCCATGAATCCTTCCAGTCTAACAGCCTTGCTGCACTTGCTACTCCAAATAAAAAATAAAAAATTACAATTAAAAGAGCCGGCTTCAACAGCTACTCGAAAGAGAGAATTGATTTGACCATACACCAACAAAGGAAACTCTATCAAGTTGAAATTGTCTGAATCATCGGTTTGACTTATATTTGAAAAGGAGATCCGCCAGTTCAGCGCTTTCATTTTGTCGGACCGAGGCAGTGTTTAGGTGGAGCGCGAATAACTGAAGCATCAGAACAACAAAGTTAAAAAAGTTTTGTCAACCATGAACAACGAAAACTCACCAGATCGATTTGTTGGGTGTGTTTTGAAAAACAAAGAAAAATAATTAGTAAAAAATTAATTAAATAAAATGACTAAACGAAAACAGAAAATAGATGAAGCAGAAAAGCCAAAGCTCGTGCTACGCACGATTTCCTTAAAATGTATTCGTTGCCTCCCGGGGTGCTAGGAGCATTGCAACGACCGTTTCCCAGGACACGATGACTTCGAACAATAGTTTAGCACTCAAACTACAGTTCCAATGAACGTGAACAAAGATCAGAACACAGAAGGAATTTTTATGGAATGCTAGAGGTGTTTTTAGCTCTGAAAAATATGTGAAGGAAGTGTATGAACGTGTGTTATTTGCAAAGCACCTGGTAGCCTATTTATAGGGTGGATTTGTTGGCTGAACGTTTGCATGTTAATGGCGTTTAATGGAGTTGGCCGTTGGACATCAATGTCCACCATGTTGGCATTGATTCATCCAAAACGTCCATATGAACCGTAGGTATTCAATAGGCAGCTCGTTGGCACTGATCTGTACAGAAAACGTTCCAGTTCCAGCTGCATTAAGTTAATAGAGCAAAAACAAAAATAGGAACGTTACGGAAGAACAAAAATTAATGTTATCTTTAGAAGATAGATTTTCGGACGACATTCGTGTGTGCAGGTCGCCCGCGCACGCAAGTCGCGCTTTTTGTTCTCCGGTTTCGGGATTTGATTCCCCCCCCCCCCCCCCGCGCGTGAGAGAGCCTTAACTCCTTAATGGGGGTTTCCCTTTATAAAGGGTTCAAATTCCCTTGGGTTTTACGGTGTGTGAAAAAACCACATTAGAAACCCATCTTTTTCCTAGTTTTCTCCATTTCAATGAGTGAACTTCGAGAATCAATTTCTCATTCACCCGTTTTTCGTTTTGAGCGTACTATATATCGAATTCTATCCCTAAGCAAGGACAATCTGAAACCACTTTGACCCGACCCAAATCGGATGTGGACCCCACTCCAACAATTGCCCCAAAATGACCATTTAATGCAATTTTAACACATTATTTCCAACACGATTAATGAGAAACCTACAGATCACTAGGAGACAAATATACCACATGTTCACATGAAGCGGATAAAACTCTAGGCTAAAGAAGATATCTGACCAAAACTCTTGCTATTTGAAGAAGAGGAGGCTTGAAAATCAAATCTCGTGGGAGGTGAGAGATGGCTCTCTTGGGTTTCCCTTAGGACCGGACGTCATGGCTTGAGAAGAAGAATGATTTAGCTACCAAAAAATGAAAAGAATAACCACATCATTGGAGGAACAAATTTAGGAGTTGGTAATGCTTAAATAAGACTAAAGCATTGGTAAAATGCACAAATAGAATCACCATTATTTTCTTCCTAAATAGGGATCACCAATACTATAATACTATTGGTTTAAATAGAAGAGGGTTTTATATTTTTTTTTTATAAATGTCTTGAATTATTATTATTATTATTAGTATTATTATTAATATTAATATTATTATTATTATCATCATCATCATCATCATCATCATCATCATCATCATTATGTATGTTATCTATTGAGTGAAGGTGTTATAATTTGTTGATTGTGTTAAACTAAAATTTTCAATTATAATTAAATTTATAAATTTGATAAATTTCAAGGTGTGATAAAAATGATTGAATCTGGATAGGTTAAATAAATAAAGAAGAGAAGATTAAAGAAAGGGGCAATAAGTAAAAGAAATTTAAAGAAAAAAATTGTATGTATAAATAAGTCAATTCTGAATGTCTTGTTAATGTCTATGTTAGTTTTGCCAGTTTGTTTGAAAATTTAGCCTATTTTTATGTCGTCGGGAGTATATGGATCTATGGGACCAGGGATAGCAGTGTCAAGCCCGCTACATGGTTAGCGATTCGTGTTTCTCTTTCAGGGGTGACCGTTCCTAAGTCTAATCATAGGGTTTACAGCCGTAGTTTTTGGAGGTTAGTTTGAGTCAGATTTGATATTCGTTTGATTGATGTAATGATCCTGAAACTAATGATATGTGTAGAAGCGAGTTTCCGTTCCAAAAAAATGTATGCCAGAAGTCCATTTTCAAACCAACCCTACTTAAAGTAAAATGTAACCAAGTACTACTGATAAAAAAATAAAAATTGACATAAAATCTTTCCACAAAACTCTTCATGGCACGAAGGTGGTTCTGGAGGAACGAGCTCTATCAATGTCGACGCACTCTAGAGGAAAGTAGATAGAAATCTCTGATCACACATTACTAATTATGACACCAACAGAACTTCCCACATCGAGAGAGACAAACCACCCCGGAGGATCAGCGTCTAGGAAAGAACCGCCACAGAACAAAATCAACATGACCACATGAGAAGAACATTCCAATTGATCATACCTCTACAAAA